AGGGCCCGCTCGAGATTGGGAAAGTAAGTACACCTAAACAGAACTGCTGCTTAAATTACAGAAAGTGAACCCATATGGCCTAAATTCATTTGACATCTTCATTTTGAGCTGCAGTATTCCCTAGGTGTCTAAATTTAAACTTCCATGTACAGCAAAAGCTCTGTTATCCGGCACCCATGGGGAATGGGATGGGTGCCAGATAATCAAATAACGCTGGTTACCTGAGAGGCATCTTTGCTCAGGTTGCTGCCCCTCCCACGGCATCCAGTGCACCAGGCTTTCACTCCCTGCTGGGGGACAGGGAAGGGGGCCCCACTCAGGCTGCTTTGCCCTGGGCCATGGCCCGAAGTTGGCAAAGTGGGACTCTGCGAAACTGAAAGTGGGGTTTCCAGTTTTGCTTTTGCCACAGCAACCGGCATGCCAGTTAATAGAGCTTAATAAAGGTTAATAAAGTGGCAGATAACATGGCTTTTACTGTATATGCAGAAACAACTGTTTCTGAGCATCTAGATATATAGCTTCTATCTGAGCTCTACTGTGATTCAAATACTAGGCCAAGTGGCACATTGGGTGCCTATACACATGCTCCTTTTTGTTCTAGTTAGAAATACTTGATTAATCGAGTCTGCTGCACAATTTAATTAGAACACTCCAGCATTGCTGCAGTGTCATGTATATTAGGCCCCTGAACATTTTAAAATGCCCATGGGGCTCTTTAGCTAAACCTTGTCAAATGAGGTTTAGATAAAGCATCCCACAGCCATTTTAAAACACTCAGGGGGTTAATGCAGTATCTTTTAACAGCTTTCATACCAATCCATAATCATGTTTGCTCTTTAGGGATCAAAACCAAATTTGAAAACTTAATTTTGAAGTAACTTGTAGATCTGGGAACTTTTGATTATGGTGAGAGAACAGAACCTCTTGCACATGGATTAACCTATTTTTATTTTGACTTACTTTTATTCCAGCAGTCTTTCCTGCCCAGAGCAGGGGGGGCTAGACCCAGTGATCTCACGAGTTCCCTTCCAGCCCTAAACATCTGTGAATACGTATGATGCTGCGGCATTTTAATTAGAGCAGTTGCACAGGAACTATTCTGATTAAAACAGCCCCCCACCCCCCGAGCAAGTGTATAGGTAGCCACACATTCCATGAAGGAAACTGAAGAAACCTAATCTGCTTGGTGTATCTGGAGCATTCCTAACACATACCAACAGTATAGAGTTCAATACAAAGTACTAGAGCTAAGGTCACATTCAAAACCAAAAACACAGGATGTGGGGGTTCTCTCCAGCTTTCCTACAGCATGTTAATGGTTAAAATACTTTTAAGACCTGGTTCTAGGCCTTCCTTGGTCCACTCTAAAGAGCTTTAGTCCCCCACTTCCCAGAAAACAGTCTGTACAGAGTAGCACTCTATCAAAACTGTGATCCTGGGCAGCCATGAATACAAGGCCCTGTCTACACTTCACATTTATACCATGTTAATTGCAGCATAAATGGCAAGGCCACTACACCCGCATCCAATTTAAGTGCCACAAAATATCAAATCAACAATAAAAATGTTCTTTATGAAAGCTGGCTTTCATTACACCTTAAATTGAATGTGTAGCAGGTCTCAGGCTAGGGCCAACAAGCAGCTGATTTTTGGCTCTAGCCAGAAACCACGTCAGGGTCTTGAACCAGTGACTTTGTCAGCTAGAGCCTGACAAGGAACTCACCAGGGTCTCAAAGTGGCCACAGTGTGGTCCTTGGCCATAGCTGACAATCAATTGATTGTCAGCCCTGGTTCTGGATCTGAAAGTGCTCAGCTTTTGGCTTTCCATTGCTGGCTTTTGGCTTGCCCAGGCTCCCCCTGCACTGGGAAGTAGAAAGGGTGCAAGTCGGATCTGATTCCCAATCCCAAAATTGCAACTCCTGCTATGCATGGCAGCAGGCCCAATTGTATGGATCAGATCCCATTGCACCTGTAAATGAACATGTGTCAAAGACCAAGAGTCACAGGGCCAGAACAAGTGCAAGCAAGGGCTCTTTGACTGGTATTTTAGTGGTTAGGGCACTCAGCTGGAGGTAGGGGAGGGAATCCTAGATACCAGTCTTGGCTCCCTGCACTGTCTATGCATTCTACCTTAGTCTTTGAATAACTTTTAAACAAAACCTTGAGCAAGCAGCTATCACTATAGTTTTTAACACTTATTTCTTCCTTTTTTTCAGATTCTCTTGTTCATTTTAGCTGTATGTCTGTCCAGAAACTTCAAGAAGAAGAAAATTTGCCCACAGAGTTAATATTTTTTTTGGTTTTGTTATATGACATGGCATTTCTGATGATTGTTTAATACGTCTGAAGGCCCTTTAAAGTCAGTAGAATTATACCTGTTCAATCTGAGGAATTTTGGACTAAGCCTTAAAATGCCATAATTGCCAAGCTATATTGTATTTTATATTTAGATACATAATTAGTCTTGCTTACAGTCTTGGACAGTGGTTGGCAGCCTTTTCCAGCAGTGGATAGGAATGGCCCAGCTCAGAGCCAGTGCTAAGAACCAGCCACTGCTGCTACTTCTGTCCCCTGCCTGGCTGCAACAGGGCTAGTGGAGAGTTCCCCATCACTTGGCCATCCAGCTGCCTGGCCACAGTGCAGCACAGTACAACACAAGTGAAGCCCTTGCTGCCAAACACTACCAAAGCCCTAGCTCTGTGGCCTGATCCAATAGCCCATGGGCCATAAATTGCCAACCCCTGGTCTTGGGTATAACATTTATTTAAGATGTATGCATAATGAAGTACTGAGTGACCATTCTGTTTCACTGAATGTTGGCTCTTTAAAACAACCTTTGAAAGGGTACTGGCTCACCAAATGGTTGTAAAACAGAAGGAACCACAGATATCCATCACTCTATTCAAAATCTAATAACTTGGTGTCTGACAAAATCTATCAGTTTTCTTTTTATTATGATGTTTTGAAAAATCCTCCTGTCACAGATTACCCTGGGAAGCACTTACTTGGGACCCCGAACATTTAGGAGGAAGAAAGGGTATAAAAACATGCTCAGAGGCAGATTAATTCACAGGCTCTTTATCATAAAGTACTTTGCAACTTGCACTATGGTATATGCAGATCATGTAACTATAAGTTACAGTTACTCGCTTTTTTCAAAAAGATCAAAATTGAGCAGGTTCTAATTATACTTATACCAGTTTCTTATAGTTTCCTGAAGGGAACTGAATCCCTTCAACTCCTGGCATCTTGCTGTAGTCGTCATTTTGTATCTTATTCTGGGCCCTATAATCCTTGAAATGCTAATTGAATTCAATGGGGGGCTTTTCCTAAAGGCTTAATTCAAATTCTGCAGATTGGTAGTTGGGGGTAATTCTGTGGAAATCAATGGAGTTACTCCAGTGTAAAACTAACAGAAAAGGGGAATGGGTCCATACTTAGTAAAGCACAATTTGGGGCTAGTACAAGTGAGCTGGCTTCTGGTCCAAATTCTTTAAAAAAGAAAACTACCGCTCATCCTTCTACAAACCCAGAAAAGACTGCCTAACATAAATGTGCCACAGAGAAATTAGAGTGCAAAGTCTTATTAAAACTGAGTCAGAGTTTCTAACTCTTTAAATAAATCAACCAAATTTTTCTTCTATATTCAAATAAAGATTGTTTTGTCTTCAAGAAAAAAATCAGTAACCAATATTCTTCTGTTTTCTTTAATGGAACTAATTACATTAACATATGAGCACAGTGATCTCATGGTAACTTAAAATAAAGGGCAAATTTTTCCTTCCTTTAAAAAACACACTTAAATCTCAGTTATGTTAAACATACATACAGACAGTCTGACACGATGCTTTGATCATAGATCTTAAGGAATTTATTCTTTACGACAATAAGGTGATTAGAAAAGTCTGTCTTATTCAGTATTTTGGAAGCCTGAGTCCCACCATGAATTTTGTCTTAGAAGTAATAAGAGTTTGTATTTTAATTTTCCTTTAACATATTTTCTCTCAGTAAAAAAACTGTAAAACTTCATATCATCATACATAAAAGTAGCAAATACATAGTGGAAATGATTTGCTGTGGGGGAGACTGCAGTAGAACATTTTAATACACCTAAGGCCTTCTCTACATATTGTATCTATTATGCAATGATCTTGTTAACAGCACAGTAAATTTAGACAGGGCACACATGCAAATTAACTGTGGGACCTTAAAAAGGTCCAACCAACTATAAAGTTATTGCTCAAAAATGGGTAATAACTTTATAGCTGGTTTCTATCCAGCTTTAATTTGTATGTGTAGGCAGTCTTCGGCTGGAAGACTCAACCACAACTTCTCAACCTTTGCAATCTCCCAGCCATGGGTTGTTCCACACACCCCCAGGACTAAGAGATCACAGCTGTGCCTCAAGGCAGCTGTGTCTGAGTCCCGCACCTTATAGGACTCTGTCCCACCTGTACCACACACATGGGTATGATTGTATGTAATGTGCAATCCCATAATCATGCCTCCTACCATGTATGTGTGGCATGTCAGGAGGTGCAATTGTGTGGATTGTGCATTAGATCTCATGGTGTCTTCACCTGCACTTTTAGAGGGGCGTTAAGATATACACAGCCAAGTATTTCCAGTATAGGACTTGTGAAGAACATGAAATACTCTCTTGAAATGCTTTAATCTGTGAATAAAAATGAATGGTTTTCACATGCAGCAACACTTTCAAAATCTGTAACTGCTGGAGCAATAAAAATGTTTTAAGACAAGTATTGTCCTTCTATATAAAAATATTTTAAAGCCTGTTTCATTTTAACTAGCGCTTTTTAAAAGTTGAACAGCGTTGGCAATCCTCATTGTTTTACCATAGATGGTAATGGTATTTGGTTTATTACTTACAAGTTTCAGCTTCTAGAAGATAAATAATAAGACGAAAATTGCATCTTTAATTAGCAATGATTTTTTTGCTTTCATGGCTGCACAGAAGAACTTGGAAATGTGATCTACAGGTATAAATGACAACAACAAAAACCTCTAACATGCATTGTTTCAAAATGTTATGAACTTCAGGTCAATCTCACAGTTTTTTGATGCTTGATTTATCCAAATGCTTGGAATTGCCAGTACTCTTAAGTGGGGAAAGCACTCACAGGTATATGTTTATATCTTTTTAGTCTGCGCGTTCCGGTAACTTCAAATCAGGGGCACAATCTGTTGGTATGTTTTTATTACGTGTTACAAGCGTAAGGTGATCTGTGCTCTGTAATCTACATTAATAAACTCAGTGGGTCAAAATGGAAATTGTGAGAAGGGATCAATAGCAGTGCATGGCTCTTTTTTAGCTTGTAAATGTTTTGATATTGTGATTGTGATATGGAGTGGCTAAATCTTAATTCTAACCAAACTACACTGCAGATTTTATTCAAAAGGTATGAAATGAATGGGGATAAAAGGATCCCACTGGGTAGAGACACAGCAGCAATCCACTTCAAGACCTCTGAGTTACCCATCTCTGTTGTAGGGGTGAGGGAAAAGAGATGGAATTATACTTATCTGTACCCATATGGACTGATTGTCAGTGGCTGTATATTGGGGGGGAATACAAAGCACCATTCAAAAGAATGACATAACGGGTACACTCTCCATGCAAAGCAGAGCAAGAAGCCATTTTCTTTGAGTTCTGCCTGGGAGCCAAGCGTTTCTACATGGTCCTAATGCAGGACAGTGCAAAATGTTCTCTACTGAACTCTGTCTTTTTCAATATCCATTGCAAAAATCTCACATATATCTCAAAGCCTAGCATAGCTTTCACTATTTCCCAGTGTTAAAGTACTTGCAGATGCCATTTCTCAAGAAATTGACAAGTGTATGAGAATTAAAGGTATAACGTTAAACTGATTGTACATCTAAATTCTAGAAATGATGGTTTCTTTTGAAGCCAGATGCTGAACTACAATAAAGTTCCTAACTACACTAAAAAAATTGGCAAGATATTATTGTACTTCAATAGCTTCTGTCTAAGAAATTTTAGAAAGTGCAACATTGCTACACAAATAAATGAAGTGATTCTAGCTGTATCCTGATTCTCAAGTGGGACTCTATACTAAAAATTTAATGGGCATGGGTTTATTACAAGGTGCGTATCTTTCATTTCCAATACTCCATGACTGACGTGATTGCTGATCGCATCATTCTTTTTCCAAGAAGTACCAAACTGTTTGCTTTTTTTCATTTCAAGCTGAACTGTTTCATATACTCATATTGTTTTGCATTAAATTTTTATGTCTCTGTGCAACAGTGTTGCTATGTCACCTCATTCACAGGCATGCAAATATCTATCTATCAGCTAGAATGAGTCATTCAAAACCTCTTTGGTAGCACACCAATGTTGCCTATACAGATTAAAAACAATAAGAAGTACAATTTAAACATCATCAAAAATCAGTCCAATGTTGATCTCATTTTTGTTTGTTTGAAAAGTATAAAAATACCGTTTATACAAACATAAAAATTCCACATCTGTAGAAACAAGCTTTAATTATTCTACACCAATGTTGTAATATCAATGCAGATTGAAGAAGTAGGAGATATGTAAAATATTTGTTCATTTACTTTAGTTTTTAGCATCTTTGCTTACGATGGACAACTGAGTGAATAGCAGCTCTCTTGTCAAAAACATTTACAGAATAATAGTGAGGTTTGACAAACCTGAGACAAACAAGTCAGCCACTGAAATATTTGTGTATTTGTTTTCATATTATTTTAAACTTTTCCAGATAAAAATTCATTTTATTTTAAAATGTCAACAATCATAAGGTATTTTTTTTAATTCACGATAGGAAAAAATGTAGTTTAAATCTCTTGTAATCATGCAATTGGTAATATAAAAGATATCACCCAGAAAAATCCTTGCCTCTTGCATATTTTCTGGATCATAATAGCTACATCATTATTTTTACACCATATTAAAAAATGCTACTTTGCTTTATTTCTAGGTGAAATAACTAACATTTCTTTGGAAGAGGAACTGATGATGACTCTTTATAGACATGCAACAGTTTTTTCCCTTTCTCTTTAACTTTTATTGCATTTCCCTCTAGCTGTATTCACACACTTCCAGCAAAAATTAAAATCACCACAAATGCTAAGTTTGTTAATTAATTGGTGTATGTTCTGATAATTCTCCTGTTTCAGTACTCCCTGGATGACTGTATAACTTACCCTGGGCTGCATCTAATAATACAATACATCAGGAGGCAGTAAAATACTCATAGTACTTAGGGTTGGAAAGGACCTAAACAGATCATCAGGTCCAAACCCCCCGCCCCAGGCAGGAGTTTACAAAAGCAGTAATGTACTTGCTTGTAAATCACTGAGCCCATCAATTTTGCAGTTTATCTGATTATTGCTAAGCAACATTAACATTTAGAGTTTAAGAAATATTCCTGATATACCCTTTCTCTATTGTTTTTTCCAAACACCACAAAGATTGCTAATTGATCCTAGACAAATTACCTCTTGTTTAAAATATGTACAAGACATGATTCTTATGTGGGTGCAACCCCATGGGCACATCTCCACATGCAGAGGCAAGCACTCGCTGTGGCAAAAATAATAGCAGCACAAATTTATGTTGCTACTTTTTGCCACAGTGCACACCCCTGCACATGTGGGTTGGTGTGGGGCAAATTGCACCACTTCAGGGAAACTGCCATTTTCCTGCTCCTCCCACCATGCTGGGGCAGCCAGGCAACAAAGAAAGCAGTGGAGATGCTCTGGCCAAGAGCCAGAGTATTTTGGGAGGACCCAGCTTCCATGCCTGCTGGCACATGTTCCTCTTGCATGTGCTGCCCCACTTTTTTCCACGCTGCTTTATTTTTTTGCTACTGGGATTTCCTGGTAGTAAATTTTGTCCCCATGCTGCAAATTTGCAGCACAGAGCACATTTTAACACCCTGGGAGTTTGGTTTGTGGTGTCATAAAGAGGTTTGTGTTGCTAAACCACACATGCCTGCATGTCTGGATCCAGCCAAAGGGTTCAGTGCAGTTTTTTTGAAATCTTAACAAGGTAAGTGAATAGAGAACTCTGCCCTTTTTTCCCCAAATCAATCATTATTAATTAATATTCCAAACTAATGAATGAATGTGGTTGCCTCAGAAACTACTTCTCTCTCAGTGCCACACTGAATGATCCAGCAGCAGAAATGCTCAGTCTGGATGCCCCTTCATAAATATCAAAGGGGACCATTACAAGACTTCCTCGGCTGAGAACTTTTTACCTCATCTTAGTTTTTAAGAACCTTGTTTGACTACTCATTTATGGCATTTTGTGTAACTATAGGCAGCAGCTCAGCAAACTTGTGAACCTTTCTTTTTTACACTGATTTAGGTTTGTAAATTAGTTTGCTACAATCTAATAGGTTGTTGACAGTACTATCAGTGGTGGATTAATTTACTGCAATGAAACGCACATATAGATGCTGACTATAGGCATATATTGCAC